TCTTTATTATGAAACAATAGAGAAGCCTTGATTGTGCTCTCAAGAAAAGGGGAGAAACATTCCACTACGTCTTGTGTTTCTCCCTACACTTCTTTCGTGCTCTAGCCACTTCCTGCGTGCTTCACAACAGAACAGAGCATGATCAAGGCTTCTCCATTTGTTAATAAGGTAGGGCTCCACCAAAATCATGGAAATGAGCATTGTCTATTCCGTAGTTATCTCTAGGTAAAAAGAACAAAATACTCACAGAAGCTTCAGGCATTTAAGCCCGGCAAAAGTTTGTCTTGAAATATCGGAGAGTCTATTAAAACTTAAAAACCTGAGGAAATAAGTCTTTAAATTAGTATTTCATGATAAGAGGATTTCTAGAGATGAAAAATGATTTTAACAAAAAATTACGCAGACGTATTCTGAGTAAAAGGACTTGGAGAGCTTCCAATAAGAATGGACCGTACGACCCTCAGATTAGTACTACGCATGCTCCACCACTAAGCTATCTGCGGCTCGTGACAGGCTAGGCCGTTCAACCAGGTCAAACATCATGTTTCAATTCAACTGATGTGTTTTTGGCATCAAATGAACAAACGTCAAAGCAAAGAGAACTCTGACCAATACCTCTCTTTATAATATTGGCTTAGACTCTTTAGCGAAACAGATTTTGACGATATACTTATGTTATCAGTGCTAAGTTAACACTTTATGAAACAAATTACAAGGAATAGGAAGTCATTAGACAAATTCATGCAAGCGCAAATTGTTTACTATCTTCCACTGCCACATTTGTATGGGTTTGGAAAAATGTATTCATATACGTTATTAACTCAGCATGAGGTCGGGATGGCTGAATATTGGCCGGTTTCTTTTTTGGGCGTTTTAATGAACCGAAACGAGGCTAATATCCGTTCGTCTTTATCGAAAAAGCTTAGTTTGGAGAGTTCATATTCTCTTGGCTTGGTCAATGAAGGATTCATTATAAAGCAAAAGGATTTCACTTTAATAAGGATTAAGAGTGACTTGTTTATTTCGAGAGCCGAGGAAGAAAGTCAGCCGGTCGTAGAATTCTTTCTTTCTTTCGAATATCCTCTGCCGCTTTTTGCGTCTCCGTGGTCGTCATTTTCCAAAAGTTACGAACTATATTTCTTGCGCGTGATCAATACGGGTATTGCCGAGCCCATCGTGCCCACTTGGACAGCCAATGAGAACACAGGAGCAAGATATCTACCGGCCATAATATATTATCCCACTTCATGATCACAGGTCTCGACATCTTGCCTTTTTTCACGCAAGAGTCAGAGTGAACCCTCGAGCTACGGCATTTACCACATGATGGTCAGTTGATGGTCCAGTCAACCATTAATCTTTTTTTTTCCTGTAGCCCCTTAAGACCGGTTCATTTTCCGAACCAAAAGATTGGGAAGACATATATTCTACATTTTTTTTTTGTGATTTCTTTTTTTTTAGGCATTTTACAAAACATTACTCTACTTAAAATACACTACAGGACTCAGTTACAGTACGTTGCTTACAATAGTTTACTGAGAACACACCACAAACAAAGTATAGTTTACAATAAACTTGATTACAGCAGATGACTTACTATCGATTACTTCCACTACCTACACGATACTCTGCATTTAATTTACTTAACGACATACTACACTCCTTTCAATATGTTACGTAAATTCCTTACAGTTCCTTAATAATAGTATCTAGCGAAATTGTGTGCTTTATAATAAAATTGACTTCGTATGCTACTCTACACTGTTTGGACGACACCCATCCCACAAAACGATATGTGGCAAAAGCTTATTCCATTTCTGAAAATGTTTCCTCAAGAGTTCGATAATAACCGCCATTTTTTCCAGTTTGTCTTGCATAATATAGCCCCAATGTTTTAGGGAATCGCGGTTTTTAATGGCCCGAAGGACAACTGACCACACTACATCATTCTTGTAGTTTTCAGAAAAGTCATCTCGAACCAATCTCCAGAGATTGTCAAGTTTGAAATCGATAGGGTAAGCAGAATTCTCTCTTAACAGGACCCGTAGCATTCCTTAGAGATAAAATCAAAGTCTTGTCACTCTATGCGGGACACAATCCCGCGAAGAGTGGTAAGCGCTGAAAAACATTTCTCGTAATATGGTGTAGAGTCATGCAAACTCGAAGTGGAATTGTCGCGAAGAGAATGCCACTCCAGCCGAAAAGAGGCAAGCCTAAATCCTAGTAAGTATTTGGTTAGGTAAAAGGACTTTGATTCCGAGTTAGAGAGATAAGACACTAGAGAGGCTAGCTTTAAGGAGTCACCTTTGATTTGGAAATTGAAAATTCCAAGGCCAACTTTATTAAAAGGCTGGTGGCAGGTCCCTCGACTTACTGTCTCAATACGAGAGCCCCAAACAAAAGGCCAAGTTAGCGAATTTACTTTACAAATTACCCATCGAGGGATCCACAGAACCGAAAACATCTAGAGTAGTTTACTGATTCCTAAGAAATTGACCAAAAGAGATTTGCCAACGAGCGAGAGACAACGAGATTTGCAGAGATTAAGATGTTTTACCAACTTCTCAAGTTTTGGTTGCCAATTTTCCACTTCAGTATCATTGCCGAAATTAACTCCAAAGATTTTCATGTTGGTCAACCACCTGAGGCCATAAGGTTGATCGCTCCGTGTACGCATGGACTCCGTTTTGGCGACACTTAGGCGCGCTCCAGAACCGAGTTCATAAATATTAATGGTATCAAAGAGAGATGCCAACGAACGAATAAATTTAACAATACAGGTCGTATCATCAGCATATACCCCAACATTAGATCTTACTCCGCGTGCGCCGGGTAAGAGAAAGCCCTCTATGGCGGGATTGTTTCGGATTTTACAGGCGAGAGTTTCAACACATAAAATATACAACAAAGGTGACAGGAAATCCCCCTGTCTCACTCCGCGAGACAAAGGTATCGCTTCAGTTAACCATTCATTAACGATGACTTGCATGTTAACATCATTATATCGTGTGCTAACTCAGTGGCAGAATGACGAACCAACACCAAAACGGTTTAGGAGATTCAATAAAAAAGTGCGATTAACTCGATCGAGGGCTTTCTCTTGATCGAGCCTGAGTAGAATGCCAGTTTCGTGGAATGTCCATTGCTTGATTATTTTAGTATTTAATATTCATTATTTTTATTATCAGTGCGCTCAGTATAGTCTAATATATCTCGCAATAGGTGTAGGTTTGACGTAATTTTCCGACCCGGCACAGAACAGGCTTGATCAGGATCAACGATAAATTGTAAAACTTTAAAGAGAGGGAGAGACCTGGAACATATCTTATAATCGACAATTAGTAAGGAAATTGGTCGCCAATTTTTAAGACCTTTGCGATCCCCTTTCTTGAAAATGACTCGAGTATTACTAGTTTTCATAGACTCGCACATCTCTCCAGCTTGAGATCATGCATTGAATACCTGGCACAGATATGGACCCAAACGGTCCCAGAACTTTGAGTAAAACTCAACCGAAAGGCTATCAGGGCCGGGAGCTTTGTTTGTGTTCATTTTATTCAGAGCGACAGTCATTTCCTCGAGCGTCAAGTCACCTTCGCAAGAGGATGCCTGATCGGACCTTAGTTGACGAGACAAGGAGGATAAAAGATCGGTTTGCATCGCGACATCTAACGGCTCTTCGGAAAGAGTCGAGAGTAAAAATCTACGTGCGCTTTCAAAATTTCCTCTTGGGAGAAGACCTCATTGCCGTCTGAATCGTACACTGAAGAGATGTGCGATCTCTGCGCTTTACTTCGCTGTAAATTAAAGAAATATGGACTGGGGCGTTCGCCCTCTTCTAACCATTTGGCACGGCTACGAATCATAATTGCTTCTGCTTTTTTGGTACGGAGACCTTTCAGGCGGCTTTCCGTATTGGATATAGAATCGGATACGGTTGTATGACCATTAAGGAGTCTTGTATTCTGTCTTAAGCGTACCTCAGATTGATCAATCGATTGATGTAACTGTCATTTGTTTTGTGAATTTGAAACTTGATTAAATTGAAATATTGATGTTAGCTCTTACGAAGTGGGCGTGAAAATTCTCTTCTGATTAGGCAACGGGCCTATAACGTGTCTTTACGTATCATCTACACTTTATAATAGATCGTCATGTAATTCATTGATGGCCTTGAACCCGACCATATTTGAGGGGGATAAATGACTTCTTACTTCAGTGGCTAGCTTCTTCGGCAAGAGAAG